TTGCGTTTGTTAGAGTAAATTTCATTTGGAAGAACTGTTGATTTAATGAAATGGGAGCGGGTGGTACGCCTACCACGAGACTTAATGAAATGGGAGCGGGTGGTACGCCTACCACGAGATTTAATGAAATGGGAACGGGTTGCACGCCTGCAACGAGTTGTGAACCGAGAGTGAAACCTGCCTTTGTTTTCCTTATCCTTGTTAGAAGTTGAATTTTGGTTTCCTGATAATTCTCTTGAGATTTTGTTTCAACTGTTATCTCCCCGCAACATGTTTCCCCCTCCCATCCTTACTTGTTTATTCCTGCTTTACTTTCCGATGTACATTATATAACTACACAGGTTTATTTGGTAGTCTGGTCCTAGCCTCGTCACTACTTCGCCGGGGTTAGGCTAGGCACTTACCAGCACATAGGTTTGGTTGTGCTGATACTACACTCCATGCTCTTTTGCATAGATCCAGGTTCTAGAGTGGCATTTGGTTATCAGCAGTAGATTGGGAGCTATCCTTCAGTAGACTCCGAGATAGCCCTGCTGGCGTTCGCAGACCCGGTGTCTCTTCTTTCAGTTTTTATGTTCTGTTGTCATTTGTACTCGAGACAGACTATGTTCTTTTCTTTCAAACACTTATTTGTAGTATCCTAGACAGTCCGTGGATATTGTGACACCAGGTTCTGGTTAGAGGCACGTGTTGGTCTTCAGGATGTTTTGGTTTTATATTTTACTTAAGACTTCTGCTAAATTTCATATTCCACTGTAATTTATTTGTTTATTTTCGGTAAATTTAATTGGTTAAAAAGGAATTAAAACAGAAAGAGTTAATGATATCTAAGATCGTGGCTTGCCTAGCTTCTACGATTAGGCGCCAACACGACTCCCGAGGGTGGTGGGAAATCCGGGTCGTGACAAGTTGGTATCAGAGCTCTAGGTTACACAGGTCTCACAATTCACGGACAAGCTCAGTAGAGTCTGAGGGATCGGTACGGAGACGTCTGTATTTATCCTCCAGAGGCTACGGAGTTAGGAAAACATCACACTTGTTCTTTCCTGTCGTGCGGTTTTGTTTCTCAAATGCTAAATTGAAACCTCTACTCTTGTCCCTTCGCGAATGGCGAGGTCATGTACCGCTTCTTCAGCTGAGCAGCAGCACAGACCAGTGATAGATCAGCTACGTCTTCGGAGGCTTTGTGGAGGTTGGATAAGTTTCACCAAGCTCTTCACTACTACATTCAGCGGTACATCTACTGAGGATCCCCAGGATTTTCTAGACAGTTGTATGAGGTTCTCAGGAACATGGAGATCGTGGAGACCAATGGGGTCGATTTTGCTACCTTTCGCTTGTCTGGATATTCCAAGACCTGTTGGAGAGATTATTGATTGGCTATACCAGTTAGGTCATCAGCTTCGACTTGAGAACAATTCACGCAGTTATTTCTGGAGAAGTTTCTCCCCATCACTCAGAGAGAGGTCTATCGGAGGCAGTTTGAGCGTCCCCAGCAGGGTTCTATGACTGTTACTCAGTACGAGATCAGATTCATTGACTTGGCTCGTCATGCTCTTATCATACTTCCCACCGTGAGAGAGAGTGAGGAGGTTCATTGAGGGACTCGTCCAGCCCGCTCAGTTAGCTAGAGGTGGAGGTAGAAGTATTAGAGGTGGAGGTAGAGATGCTAGAGGTGGAGGTAAAGGTATTAGAGGTGGAGGTGCAGGTATTGTTCTGGTTTGTGGTAGAGAAGCTTCGGTTTTATTTTGCGCCATATCTGGTCATGCCTAGTGATTCCTTGAGTGCCCCCATTTATGTGTCTACGCTGGTGGGTGATTCTATTGTGGTGGATCGCGTCCATTGTTCATGTATAGTGGTTATTGGAGGTTTTAAGACTCGTGTAGATTTGCTTCTTCTGGGCATGGATGATTTCGGTGTTATATTGCTGATGGACGGGTTATCACCTTACCACGCTATCTTGGATTGTCACGCCAAGACTGTGACCTTAGCTTTACCAGGTATGCCTCGTTTAGAGTGGAGAGGGACTCCCAGTCATTCTACCCGTAGTGTTATCTCGTATTTGAAGGCTCGGCGTATGGTCGAGAAGGGGTGCTTGGCCTATTTGGCATATGTTCGTGGTTCTAGTGCTGAGGTCCCTTCTATTGATTCTGTGCCCGTTGTTCGTGAGTTTCCTGATGTTTTCCCTTTAGACCTGCCGGGTATGCCACCCGACAGGGATATTGATTTCTGCATTGATTTGGCTCCGGGCACTCAGCCCATTTCTATCCCGCCAAATCGTATGGCCCCGCCTGAGTTGGAAGAGTTAAAGAAGCAGTTGTAAGACTTGCTTGAGAAGGGTTTCATTAGGCCCAGTTTTTCGCCTTGGGGTGCGCCGGTGTTGTTTGTTAAAAAGAAGGATGGGTCAATGAGAATGTGTATTGATTACCGGAAATTGAACAAGGTTGCAATCAAGAATAAGTATCCATTGTCGAGGATTGATGATTGGTTTGATCAGCTTCAGGGTGCCAAGGTATTTTCAAAGATTGACTTGAGATCTGGCTACTATCAGTTGAGGATTAGGGCATCCGATGCCCCTAAGACAGCTTTCCGCACTCGGTACGGGCATTATGAGTTCTTGGTGATGTCATTCGGGTTGACAAATGCCCCCGCAGCTCTTATGGATTTGAGGAGCTGAGTGTTCAGGCCTTATTTGGATTCGTTCGTGATAGTCTTCATGATGATATTTTGATATATTCCCGCAGCCGAGAGGAGCACGAGCAGCATCTTAGAGTGGTTCTTCAGACTTTGGGGGATAGTCAGTTGTACGCCAAGTTTTCGAAGTGTGAGTTCTGGTTGAGTTCAGTTGCATTCCTGGGTCCTGTTGTGTCAGCAGAGGGTATCCAGGTTGACCCAGAAGGGTGCCCAGTTCAGATGGTCGGACGAGTGCGAGGCGAGCTTTCAGAAGCTCAAGATAGCTCTGACTACGGCACCGGTGTTGGTTTTGCCCACAGGTTCCGGGCCTTATACGGTTTATTGTGGTGCATCTCGTATTGGACTTGGTGCAGTGTTGATGCAGGATGGCAAGGCTATTGCCTATGCTTCGCGGCAGTTGAAGATTCATGAGAAGAACTATCCGGTTCATGATTTGGAGTTGGCAGTCATAGTTCACGCATTGAAGATTTGGAGGCATTATCTGGCGTGGCATGTGAGGTGTTCACGATTCCCGAGAGTGCGAAATCCGGGTCGTGACACATAAATACCTACTTGAGACAACCAGGGCTTTACTATACCAGTCCAAATTACCCATGAAGTATTGGGGGGAGTGCATCCTCACTACCACATATCTGATAAACAGATTCCCTTCCACAGCTCTTAAGAGCAAATGCCTTTTTGAAATTCTATATGACAGTAAACCACATTATTCACATCTTAGGAGATTTGGTTGCATGTGTTTCCCACTACCTTGAAAAGTCATAAGGATAAGTTTGAACCAAGATCCACACCTCATGTGTTCATAAGATATCCCTTTGGGACAAAGGGATACAAGGTCCTAGACTTGGCCACTAAGAGGATACATGTTTCCAGGGATGTTTAGTTTCATAAAAACATATTTCCTTTTGCACTAATTCTGAGTCAAGATCTTCTAGCTTCTCTAGGTCATTTTCAGATTTCACTCCTACATGTATTGATCCCGATCCTTGTAATTTGAGAAATAATCATCTATCTGATAGGAATGCACGCCCTTTTGATTCTGTCACCACTGACTCACCTAACAGTTCACCTACCCATACAACTTCACCTCTTGAAAACGCAACCACTACAAGTTAGGGTACTACTTCACCTAAAAGGCATACACAACAATAGAATGATGATTCCACCCTCACTAACCAATCAGATCTTCCACATTTGAGAAGATCCTCTAGACTCATACAACTCCCTAAAATCTTAAGGAATATATTTACTCCATACCAAATTTGCGGCCTAACTCTTCCCAAATCAACCAATCTTCACTCTCCAGATCATTTGCTAATCAACCAAATTTGCAGCCTAGCACTTCTCAAACCAACCAAACTTTACTCACCATATTATTTGCTAATAAGCACCATGTTGCATTCAATACTTTTAATCATGAAAGTCAGCAGCTCTTGAGGAACATTTCACATGACTGTGAGCCAAACTCTTATGAGGAGGCAGCTGTGAATCCTGCATGGTAGGCAGCTACGACACAGGAATTTCAAGCATTACACACTAACCATACTTGGGATTTAGTGCATTTACCTACAGGGAAAAAGACTATAGGTTGCAAGTGGGTGTACAAAGTCAAGCACAAGGCTGATAGGAGTATAGAGAGATTCAAAGCCAGACTAAAGGCTACACCCAAAAAGCAGGGATTAACTATGCTGAGACATTATCCCGAGTGGTGAAGATGACTACAGTTAGGACATTGGTCACCATTGCAGTAAAAAGGGGGTGGGGCCTTTACCAACTGGATGTAAATAATGCTTTTCTCCATGGAGACTTGCATGAAGAAGTATACATGGAGATTCCACAGGTTTGATGGTAGATGACAGTAAGCTGGTATGTAGGCTTAGAATATCTTTATATGGGCTCAAACGGGCTAGCAGACAATGGTATGACAAATTGATAGATTTTTATGCTTAAAAGGTTTTGAGCACTTAACTAGTGACTATTCACTCTTTTATAAGAAGGAAGGATCTTCACTGGTGTTTGTAGCAGTCTATGTAGATGATGTGATCCTGACTGGAAATGACTTAGAAGAGATAGAAAGACTGAAGACATTCCTGCACAATCAATTCAGGATTAAAGACTTAGGGACATTACATTACTTTTTGGGTCTGGAAATACTGTATCAAGATAATGGAGTCCTGTTGACTCAAAGGAAGTTCACCAATGATTTGTTAAAGGAGTATGACTGCTTAGGCTACACTACTGTGTCATCTCCTCTTAATTCCACAATCAAGTTGAAGGCTGGAGAAGGAGCCTAACTCTCAGATCCAATGTACTACAGAAAGCTGGTCGGAAAGCTCAATTTCCTCACCAACACAAGATTGGATATAGCATACAGTGTCCAACACCTGAGCCAGTTTATGCAAGCCCTAAGGGAGCCACATCTGAAGGATGCTTTGCATGTCCTAAGGTACCTGAAACAAGACCCTACTTTGGGAATTTTTCTGTCCAAGGATCCCAATTATGGACTAAGGGCTTATTGTGACTCAGACTGAGCATCTTGCCCTGATTCAAGGAAGTCGGTTAGTGGCTACATTGTCTTACTTGGTGATAGCCCCATTAGCTGGAAGTCCAAGAAGCAGAGCACAGTGTCACTTTCCTCTGCTGAAGCAGAGTACAGGTCAATAAGGAAAGTGGTATGAGAATTAGTGTCGGTACAAAGGTTGATGGAGGAATTGGCGGTGATTGTCATGATCCTATTCCTGTGTTTTGTGATAATATGGTAGTTGTTCACATTGCAAGAAATCCAGTCTTTTATGAAAGGACTAAACACATAGAGGTAAACTGTCACTTTGTGAGGGACAAGATTCAAGATGGTCTTATTACACTACCACATATCCACCAATACACAGTTAGCTGATATTTTAACCAAGGCTCTTGCAGGGATTAAACATTCTGTTATTCTTGGCAAGTTGGCTGTGAGCTCCTCACCTCCAACTTGAGGAGGGGTATTAAGACTTACATTGTATTTGTATTTATATTTTGTAGTCAATGTTAGTTAGGTTAGTTAGGGGCAGTTTTGTACTTTCACCTAGTAGTTAGATATGTTGTATATAGTCTATACTTTGACACATTTGAGATATACAGAAATTATTTCTCTCTTCTAGAATATTCCTCTTCTCTCTCTCTTCTCTTTCTCTCTCTCTCTCTCTCTCTCTCTCTCTCTCTCTCTCTCTCTCTCTCTCTCTCTCTCTCAGCTCATCCGTCAATGGCGGATATCATCAATGTGAGAACATACAAGTTTAACAGTTTTTAAGCCAAAATAACTTTTAAGCCATTTTGTAGTGTTTGGATAGAGTAAAAAAAAATACTTTTAAGCACTTATTTTTAAGCTAAAATGACAAAAACAAGCCAAAAGCTAGGATTCCTAACTTATGGCTTAAAGGCTTTTTTTACTTAATAGTTGCTTAAAATAAGCCAATCCAAATGGACTCTTAGCCTTATTTCATCCTTTCTAAACCAAAACTTTCTCCAAATGCTCCAACACGCTTGGATAACTACTCCACTCGATTCGTTTCAATTTCCATGACATCTTTTGCTTTGTAATGATTAAGATGCTTGAACTCTATTACTATTATTAGAAAGCAAAGATACACAGAAAAGTTTATACGAAGGACCTCACTGAGGTATATTATTTCCTTGACAATCTTGTGTACACAACCTCGTGTATATATATACATTGACATCTCGGCTAGAGATTGAGATAGAGATTACAGTAGAGTAATTATACAGAATACTAACAGATAGCTATCCTAGCCTAACCATTATATGTAGAACTCTTGGAAGAGTTCTTGGTTGTGTGGGACTCAACTGGACGTGTCTCAATAACTATTATATAATTTTTATAACAACAACAACAACCAACCAACCAACCGGTATATCCCACAAGTGGGTGTGGGAAGGATAGGATGTACGCAACCTTACCCTACCCTGAAAGGGCAGAGAGACTATTTCTGGAAGACCTTCGGCTAAAGAAAAGATGGAAGAAGCACTGATAGCAAGTAACAGCAATACAGGATATTTAGAAAACTAAGTCCAAGATAGCAAAGGAGAAAATGAAAAAAGTACTGATAGCAAGTAATAACAATGCAAGATAAATAGTGATAGCAAACAAAGGGGATACTGATGGCAAATAATAACAGTACAAGATATATGGAAATAGCAAACTAAGGTTAAAAGGGATACCATACTAACACTAATACTATTGAAATAAGGAAAACAAAGGGAAACACTCACTACCTACTAACCTTCTACCCAAGTTCTCGACCTTCACACCCTCCTATAAAGGGTCATGTCCTCGATTAGCTTAAGCTACACCATGTCCCGCCTGATCACCTCTCCCCAAGACTTTCTTGGCCTACATTTACCCTTCTTTTTACCCTCCAAGGCCAACCTCTCACCTTCAGCCTCGCCTCTCGCATCTTTTTCTCCACAGGGGCCACTCCCACCTTGTCCCGAATAACTTCATTCCTAGTTCTAACCATCCTTGTGTGCCCACACATCCATCTCAACATCCTTATTTCAGCTACTTTCATCTGCTAGACATGGGAGTTCTTAGCTGGCCAGCACTATGCCCGATACAACATAGTCGGTCTAACCACTATCTTGTAGAACTTACCTTTAAGTCTCAACGGCATATTCTTATCTCACAAGACACCAGAAGCTAGTCTCCACATCATCCACCCAGCTCCGATACGATGTGTGATCTCCTCATCAATCTCCCCATCACACTGAATCACAGACCAAAGGTACTTAAAACTTTCTCTCCTAGGAATGACTTGCGTCTCCAAGCTTCACATCCCAGTCCGCTTCCTAGGTACACTGCTGAACTTGCACTCCAAGTATTTTATCTTGGTCCTGCTCAATTTGAAACTTTTAGACTCAAGGGTATGTCTCCAGACATCCGGCCTCTCGTTAACACCATCGCGCGTCTCATCAATCAGAATTATGTCATCTACAAATAACATGTACCAAGGCACCTCCCCTTGAATGTATCACGTCAATGCGTCCATTGCCAACGAAAACAAAAATGGGCTATGTTCTGATCCTTGATGCAACCCCATCTCAATCGAAAAGCATTCAGAGTCACCTCTTGCTGTCCTTACCCGTGTCTTAACTCCATCATACATGTCCTGGATCACTCGAATATACACTACAGTCACTCCCTTAGCCTCCAAATATCTCTAGAACCTCTCTCGGGACTTTGTCATAAGTTTTCTCTAGGTCAATAAATACCATTTGCAAGTCCTTCTTCATCGCCCTATATCGCTCCACTAATCTCCTCACAAGGTGAATGGCTTTAGTAGCCAACGGTCCCAGCATGAAACCAAACTGGTTCTTGGAAATGGACACGCTCCTCCTCATCCTCCCTTCTATCATCCTCTCCCAAAGTTTCATCGTATGGATCAGCAAACTTGATACCCTTATAGTTGTTGCAGTTTTGGATATCCCCTTTCTTGTACGACGGAACGAACGTACTCCACCTCCATTCTTCAGGCATCTTCTTCGTCCTAAAAATGATGTTAAACAGCCTAGAGATCCATTCCAAGCCCGCCTTATCCATGCTCTTCCAAAATTCCACAAGGATCCCGTCTAGACCGGTCGCTCTACCCCTACCCATCTGTGCACAGCCCCTTCAACCTCCCCCACTCTTATACGTCTACAGTACCCAAAATCTCGATGTCGCTCTAAGTACTCCAACTCATCCAGCACAATGCTCCTGTCTCCCTCTTCAATTATATAATTTTTACAACTTTCAAAATTTTAAATCACGCAAGATTGTCTTAGTTTTCTCTGTAACTTTGCTTCCCATATTTCTGAATGTATAGGGCCTTAGCTAGTGATTTGAGCTCTTTTTCAACGATGAACATCTGTATCATCTCATTAGTCGATCTTACCCATATTAAGACCATCTCCAACCCAACATCATTTTTTATGCCAAACGCTATTTTGGTGTAAGATTTGGTGTTTTGGTGCTCCAACCCAATACCATTTTTTATACCATTTTGGTGTGTGAAAAATGTACACCAAATTTGATGCAGCACTATTCATCAACACCATTTCTATTCATTAATATTTTATTATTATCTTTTATTTATAACACCTTTAATTTAATATATTATAAATTTTGTAATTACTTATACTTTTTATGTAATATCTTTATAATATTAATTCTATATTTTAATTTTGGTCTATAATTTTTATAAACTAAAATTTTCGTATATATTATTTTTGTATAAAATTTTAAGTTAATTTTATTATAAATGTGAGCACGTGATTTTTGCCTCGCTCAAATATTCCTATAAATTTCATTAAAATTAGGATTTTTCTTTTATTATTTGAATTTTAGGGAATTAATTGTATGATTTTGTGATTATCGCATTTCTGTGCATTTCTAATTGATACAACTCATAAAAAATACAAAAAAATAGCATACTTGCATTTTAGAACCTCATTTTAATATTTTTTGTTACAAAATAAGAGAAAATAACAAAATAAGTTATTTTTACATTTTTGTTTAGCTTTCCTTTTAAATTGGGATTTAGTTAGTTTTAGGAAAATTAATTAGTTTGATTTTAGTTTAATTCAAGTCTTTGTTATTTTTAATTTTAATTTTTATTGTTTCTTGCTTTTAACAAAAACAAAAATCAAAAAGAAATGAAAATGAGTTGATTTTAAATAAAAGAAAGAGAAAAAGAGAATAAATACAAGATTAAAAAAAAAAGAAAAACAAAACAAAAAGAAGAACAAATCAGACCACCCAGTTTTGGGCCAAAAATCACAGCCCAAAACCCTTCCAAACCCATTGCCCGGCCAAGCCCAAACACCCGGTCCAATTTCCATTGCCCCATACCATTCAAACGACGTAGTATCATGCCAATACTACGTCATTTTGATATTTTTGGTTAGAATCAATCTTGCATGTCCCTTTGCTCTCATCCAACGGTCCATAATCACCCTAGATTTTAAATAAAATTGTCTTAAAAATATCAGAAACCCTAGAGACAATACTCCCCTTCCTCGTACCTCTGCCTCGCCGTCGCCCTCCACCGTCACCGCCGGCCGGAAATCGTCTCCGCCGGCGGCCAACCTCCAAATACCCCCAAATTTACACCATCAACTCCCCTTCTCCTCCTCTTTTCAACCCCCGAAATATTTTCCCTCGAATAAAAGCCCATCTCCTGGAATAATCAAAAACAGTGGCGCCACCTCCGCCGTGGGCGGCGGCGCCACCACCAAACAACCCCAATTTTACACCATATATTCTCCCCAAGGCCCTCTTTCCAAATCCATGGCCATCTTCGTTCAAATCCTCCTACATCTCCTCGAAATTCAGATCGAAAATGGACCTCAAAACCCTAATTTTCAAAACTTCTGAGTTCGTTCTATTTTGGACTGTGATAGTCCTTAATCTTGTGTTTCTCATGGAAACACACGATTAAGGACAAGTTTCAGTCCAAATTTTGCAAGGGCTTGGCCGGATTCACAGTTTAATTAGGTATTTTCCTTTTCTTATTTTAATCTTGATTTTTATTTTTGATTCAGATTGTGTTTTGGCAATTTTGATAATTAGTTTAGTCTTTGGTTTGAATACATTTGATATAGCTTTTAAGTCAGTAGCCTTTTCGTTTATTTCTATTTTTTATTCTTAATGTTGGTTGCTGTATGCGTTTCATTCTGTTCCAATAATTGTTTTGTAGTTTAATTTTGTTTCATTTTGTTCAATCCTGGGTTGGTAGTTTTAGATTTTAGTTTAATTTTTGTTTCACATCTGTTTTTTATCAGTCTTGATATTCTTTAATCGATCTTATTTAGGTACCGTTTGATTTTGGTTTGTTGAATTAATAATTCTGTTAGTTTAATTCATTTCAATTTTATCAATAATTGTCCTTTAGTCAGTGTTTGTTTTCAAATAATCCAAAGGTTTAGGTTAGATTGGTTT